ACACTCTCTCTCTCTCTCTCTCTCTCTCTCTCTCTCTCACCATCGCATCTGTTACTACTACTCTTATCAGTGCGTCGTTGCTTACTTTTTTCTTCTCTCGCCAATACATACACAGGCTGATTCATAAATGCACGTCCAATTTATTATTCACATGTTTGAAATTACACGCTAAAAAATATAATTAGTTAATTAAAATATATCATATGAAATGAACGAACGATCTTTTGATTCTTCGATTCGATGCATTTTTATTTCTTCTTTTTTTTTTTTGTACTTCTTTTACGCTTAGAAATCAATTTTTAGTATTTGTAATACTGTGCAAAAGGTATGATATTCATTTGAATATAAAGACTTAACCTCAATTCAATTATGGACATGCATTTATAAATTATTTACCCTACATTTTTGTATCTCTTGCTTTCTAACTTTGCGCATATATATATACATATATACATATTACAGCTAACAGATATCGTAATACGTGTATGAATACAGTAGAATTAGCGTAGAATTATATTACAGGCGAACGCGCGATCACACGGATAATTGGTAAAAAAAAAAAGAAAAGAAAGAAAGAAGAAAAGTCTAGGCGAGACTTGCATCTTCCATAGAGTTTCACATGCAGAGTCTGTTTATACCGTGTCCATCTCGAGATTTTTTGCTACATTGTTTGGGATATTCGTTTCTCGATTCGTTCTCTCTCACTCGTTAGACGGAAATTTGATCCACGCGGATGGAAAAAAAAGAACACGTGCGTCCACGATAAAAAGAAAAAAAAAAAAGAAAAAAGAGAGAAAGAAAGAAAGAAAAGAAATGTTTAACACTTCTTAAGGAACTGATTCGATTTCCTACGTAGAAGCAGAAGATGTAGCCGCGGCCGTGACGATACCTACGGTAGATATTGCCAACCATCGTCTCGAAGTCCTTACGGGACCCATCAGCACACTCAACACTCCCATCAAATGTACAAGGAGGAGGGTATCTATGCAACTGCCGATCCTGACAGAGGCTCAAATACTAGGGGTGAAACGCCCGATAGTGAAAGGTATCGCAGATTCTTTCAATACGAACGACGGGCTTGGTAGATTGACGTTCGGTACGAAGACTACTGTGCAAATATATCCCTCGCAATCCTACGAGACAGTTTTCCTCTACGCCAGTGGTTCCCAACCTATGCGGGTCGCGATCCCCTTCAACTGTTTGTTTCCAAACATTGCTGTAATACGTCATACGTATTTGTCTATTTTATATCAATATTTAAGAACAATCAAGTCGTATCACTCGATCATTCAACGCCTTGTGTTATTAAAATTTTTTTTATCCTATTAAAGGAAGCGATGAGTCATTCGTCCATAGCGAAAGGGGATCGTAACTCGGAAAAGGTTGAAAAACACTGCAGTATCGCGTTTCGCGATTAGTGTTGGGAATCGAAATTTCCAAGAATCTTCCGAATATGATACGTATTTATTATACATATATATATATATAAAAATAGACCATACATTCCCGTATACATGTGTAGTATAGATAGTGATCGTATAATTCCCATCACTATAATGAACGCGTATTCAGATAAGGATTGGTGCATGCCCGAGTGATAGTACGCTTTAGGAGCAAATTACTCGATGGGTATACTCGATGGGTTTATTTGATCGATTGGAATCGTTTCGAAACCATCCATCCATCCATGTTATCCCAAATATCGAAATACATCCGAAAGTCGAAACGGAATATAAATAGACTCGGCATAATCGGTCTTTCGCATCTAACAAGATTTTGCAAGTCCGTTTTTAATCGAATTTTCGAATAACCACGATCGTAAACATCAATTTTGACCATTTCAAACAAATTTTTATTTTATTATTAAAAAAAGATTATTATGATTGGTGAGCTTGAAATAAAATAGAAGCTTACGAAAAATAAATCTTTCGATTTTATTTTCTTCTGGATTAATACGAGATCATTTTTTTTTAATCAAACCATTTTTTAACCATTTATCACAAAAACAATGAAGAAAATTATTTTAAGGATTAAACTAACGAGTAAAACATAATTAATTTGCGCTAGAAATTTGTAAATTTATTTTATATTGAATATGGTACTTTTTCAAACTCTCAAATGATTTTTTTTTTCTCTCAGTGATAAAATAGAGTTTCAAGAAAATCAAATTGTCAAACGGTCAAAATTGAAAAAATTCATTAAATTGCAGAATTACGAATCGATGGTATAATTCTATCGATTTTGTCAATTTTATAAAAATCGTACAGCGTCATTGCTTCGAGTTTCCACAGAAGACAGAAGAAAAGAGGAAACGTTCTGACAAAATTCTACACACCAACTTTCGCATGCTAATTTTATTGTTTTAGTTGCTTGTGCAATGCGCTGTGAATGTGCTGCCATCTACATACAAGACGCGGTGTTATTTCTCTTTCTAAGCTCAGAATGGCCAGAAACTTTGTAAGCACTTTATAGCATATATCCATGGCAAAAGCGATAGTGGAAACTTGCGCGATGTCTGAAACTTTTCGATCTCAAATGCAAATAAACAATTCTTTTCTTTTTTCGATATGAATTTCTAAGCAAAATATATATATTATGTATAGCATATTTGAAACGTGATTTAAAAAATGCTAGAATTCCGCACTTATCCTTATCTGAATTCTTTTCTTATTAATCATCGCTTTAATCGTACGATAAAAGAACAAAATTGTAATATACATATGTTGTACTTTCAATATCGTTCGTAGGCCGCAATTGCAAGGCTTCGCACGTGCGCAATGGTTAAAAAGCTTTTTGTATACGTAACACATGGATACTTATATGCGCGTTATTCTTTCTCAAAGATAATATGTATTTGATGATTAATTTTAATTGATAAAAAACGCGTGCATAGGTTCCATATACAGGGTTGGTTACCTGGACATAATCTATATTATTTTCGTTATTATTTAAAACTTTCTTTTGTCATAAATAATACGATTTTCAAAAGATCTCAAAATAGTGATTTTTTTTTAATTATTTTTTTTTTCTATATACTTATGATTTTCTCTTCTTAAGTTTTTTATTGTTTTTTAAAAAAAATATTTATCAAATTCTGATACAAATAAAATAATCTTAATAATTTAAAAAAAAAACAGAAAAAATAAAATTATAAAATTCGAATAGAAATAATATTGAAAATAATTTAAGAAAAAAAAGACAAAGAAAAAATAGAATTATAAATACATCCTTTGAAATTGTAAATAATATCTATGACAAAAAAAAGTTTACGATTAATATCCACTAATATCGAAAATAACTGAAGTAGACATATCCCATGATCCTATAGATTCACTCTATATAAAAAAAAAAAAAAAAAAAGAAAGAAAGGTAAGTGTAAGGATGGAAAAGGAGAATTGACGATTAGGAGCTTATCGAAAGGTGTAACCAGCGCGTACCGCGGCGTGTGTTTGCAGCATTAGTGGTCGTGGAATAGATCCAATGGGCTCGTGTAATCTTGTTATTTTCTAGTGATGCATTTATTCAAGCTCAACAACTAGCCCGACGGACTAGTGAGGACGGAGTGCAACACCGGCCACCACAGCAGCCGCCGCCGCCGCCGCCACCGCCGCCACCTGCAATGACTGGTAGCACGGTACAGTTGCTGCAATTGCATCAACGAGAACATCGTCAACAACCGCAGCAACAGCATCATTGCCACCATCACGCGCAGCAGTCGCAGCCTCAGCAGCAGCAGCAGCCGCAGCCGTCGTCGCAACAGCAACATCAACGTCAACAACAACAACAACAGCAGCAACAACAACAACAACAACAACAACAACAACAACAACAACACCAACTGCCGGTGGAACAACTGCCAATACAGCAGCGCGGCTATTATCCATCCCCACCTACACTGATAACGGTCTCGAAAACGACGAGACTGAAAATGCTCAATCCCACCAACAACAAAAGCTCCCCGACGTTCGTGGAATCGATGTTAATCACTTGCCTAATATTAACAAATGCCCACTAGACGATAATTTTAGTCTAGATTGTAACATAAATAATGGTTCCCCTAAAGAATTAAATACCAACAACACTAGTGATAACGAAAATACTGCCCTACTGCCCCCTTCGCATTTTCCTGAGTACAAGCATTGATAATTATTAATCGATGACAGATAGTGTCCATAAAACATAGTGGTGTGATTTAATCTTGAACTCGCATTTTATACTGAATAGTGTAAATAACGATAAACTATTGATCGCAACATCAACAACAACAAAAACAACGTCAAACAGGTATTAAATTATATGAATTAAAATAATCTATATGAAATGTTTATTAATAAACATTAGTAAAGCGATTTACTCGAAGAAACATGTTGCTATTATTCATATATCCTCTTCCTAAAATTTTGAACAATTTTTATTTCAATTATTTGAAATATTGCTTTCTTATGTGAAAAAATATGAAAATTATTTGAAAAGAATGCATACTATATTCGAAATTTAATATACCTAATATCAAATGTCTATTTTAAATTGAAACTTATTTCCGATAAATTGACAAATTTTTCTTTTTTTATCTCAAATTATTTTATTATTTTATTTAATAAAAATATTTAGATGTATAAAAAAGTAATATAAGATGTATAAAACAATGTGTATTTTCATTCGTATTTTATTTTCTCTTTAGAATTAAAAAAATCCAAATTCCTTCAAAAATATATAATTTATAAAAAATAAAAAGTAAATAGATACTCACCGATTGTTTTTCCATCATTCTTACTTGTGATTCTTTTACAAACTGTTATGAAACTGTAGATTTTTACAATCAAAATTTTAATTCAAATAAAATTTTCCAGTCCTTACTCTTGGTGAACGCTATTCACATGCTGATTCCATATATAAAACTTTCAAATCTTCGATATCCATTCGAGAATCGCAGATGATGTTTTTCGATTGTGTAACCAACTTCAAGGTCTTCTCTATAATTCGATTTCTTTATATATCGATTATGATATAAGTTTTAAATTTTATATTATATTTGTGTAATATTAACAAGATTACTTTCATTAATAAAAATAATAATAATAATATATTTTTAATTCAATTTTTAAACATGATACCAACGGAGCAGAAATGAAAATTATATTCTCGTTATCTTATTTATAAATATATTATTAATTAGAGCTTTATTGTTTTATATAAAATTTTTAAAAATTATTAATAATCTTTATTATATTTTTATCCATTAACAATCTTTAATGATAAAAATGAATTCTCTTATAATGAAAGCCCTCTCCACCAATAAATCTGAAGTCAGTCAGATGCAAGATATGTATATAGTTATGTAGGTGCAATATTAACGGTGTTCAACTTGATTAGTTAGTAGCACTAGTAGATACTTTCTCGGATTACATGGTAGCAGAGGATAGTTTCAGTTGGAATCGTGGTTACCGATCTTTGTTCTTTAAGCATAGATTGGAATTCGAGAACAGTGTGGTCGATACTTGGTGCAATAAAGGGAATAGTTGATAAATTTGATCGATGTTATATGCACTTCCAACGAAAACAACAAAACATGCCACCGATACGCTTGTGAATTGACTGCACGATTCATGCAGATTCGTCGTTTAATTATTAAAGATGTGCGTCACGAAAGTTTGAGCTTTACCATACGATGCAATCCATTTATTGGACCGGGAGATTGCTGTCTCGGGCGATATGGAATGGCATATCAAATTATACAGCATGCGCCGATCCCAATGTGAATAAACGTCGCGAAGCATCTTTCATTTCGGCTGTGTGTGGTTTTCCAAAAGATTTTGCACGAGGACGTATACGTAAGGGACAGTTCGGTGATGATGCATGGTTTAGTGCCAAATTCAAAACTGTCGAAGTAATAGGTAATATTTTATTGTTGAAACTATCAAGAAATAATCAAGTTCATCATTACGTTATATTTACATATAACTGATTTTGTATTGTTGAGATTCGTATAAATTTTACATTATATATTTTTATTTCATTCGTTAATATCAATTTTCTGTTGGAAATCTTTTTATATTATTGATTAATAATAATATATATAAACACGTTCAAATAAGTTTAATGTTTGATAATTCTAAGAGTTTGACAGTTCTTTGGACCTTTTAGGTGTAGCAGATGGTGTAGGTGGATGGAGGCATTATGGAATCGATCCAGGAGAATTTTCTAGCTTCCTAATGAGAACTTGTGAAAGACTGGTTTCTATGGGCAGGTTCACACCTTCTGAACCAGCTGGTTTATTAGCACGTAGTTACTATGAATTATTAGAGAATAAACAACCCATATTAGGTATTAATGTAGCTTGTATTTTATAGTCTTTTCTAATATTTTATATAAACTTTATTTTAAAAAAAAGTAAAATAAAAGTTCATTAATACAGTTGTATGATATTTCAGGTAGCAGTACTGCATGTGTCATAGTTCTCAATAAAGAGACAAGTAGCATTTATGCAGCTAATATAGGTGATAGTGGTTTTGTAGTTGTAAGAAAAGGAGAAGTAGTTCATCGTTCTTCCGAACAACAACACTACTTTAATACTCCATTTCAATTGTCTCTTCCACCTCCAGGACATTCTGGTCTGGTGCTTAGTGACAGGTATTATATTATATAAAAATATATTGCAAATTTATATTTAATACAGCATTTTCTTAATGTACCTTTATATTTGTGTTTTATATCTAGTCCAGAATCTGCAGATACTTCAAGTTTTGGAGTTGAAGATGGTGATGTAATTCTTTTAGCAACAGATGGTGTGTTTGATAATGTGCCTGATCAATTACTTATCACTGAAATGCGTAAAGTTCAAGGAGAAAGAGATCCTACTAAGATACAAGGAGTTGCCAATTCGATAGCTTGGATGGCTCGTAGTTTAGCTTTTGATGGCGCATTTATGTCTCCATTTGCCCAAAGTGCTAGAGAGAATGGAATTGATACTATAGGTATGTAATTATATTATTCTTTAAACTATTATATAAAATTATTTCAGAATTAATATCAAGTACATATTTATAGTGTACATAAATTTTAATAAAAAATATAATCAATTTATTTATATGATACATTTCACAATTTTTTATATCTTATGTATGTATGTATCTCTTTTACTTTGGTAATAATTTTATAGTAAAGTAACTTTTCTTCTATATTCTTTCTTTAACTAATTTCTAATTCTTATATCTAGAATAAAAAATTTGTACAAATATGTTGTTTTTCCTTTCCCTTTTTTTTTTCTTCCTAATTTTTCTAAACAAACAAGTTACTATCTCTTCAGTTGAAACAAATCAATAATGAAAATCTTATTTAATCTTATTTTAGTAATTTTTTAAACAAAGATACTTCTGTTGTTTAATTAGAATAATCGAGACTAATTCAAAGATTAGTGTCTACACAATGTATACACAATGTCTCTTATATTTTTTAGGTGGTAAACCAGATGACATTACAGTGCTTTTAGCAACGGTGGCAATATAATAAAGTATGTACAATAGAGTCTTGATCATTGTATTATAGTCCATGTCATTGCGTATATGTAACTAGTTATACATCATTATATCCCGTTATGATAATCATTTATTATTTAAATCTAAATAAATGGTTTTGTAAATCACCTTCCATTTCAGTTAGTCTTTTTTATATCCACCATAAAAGAAAGTTTTAAAAAAGAATATTAATAATTAAATTTTTTTTGACTAGCAAAAATTTGTATATAAATATACAGATTTGTTTAAATATATATAAACAAATAATTACAAAAATTTTGTAATTTTTTACTGATAATAATAGTACATATCATATGGCACATAATAATGAAACGCTGTAATGTATCATAAATAAAAACTAGTTATTATTTTGTAGGATTAAAAATATTCAAAAAATTATAGTAAATTTCAAATGAATCATGTAAAAATAAATGTATTCAAAGTTTAATTAAAATTAAATGCATTCAACCACTTGTATACCACTATATATAGACTAATTTATATAATAATAATTTCAAACTAAATTGAACCATTTTATTTAATCGTAATGGTCATATAAATAACATTTTTACCTAATATTTACAAAAGAGCTATTATCTAGTTAAATTTCCAAGGCTTTCATTGCCAGAATTCTTGCAGTTAAAATTGTTAGTCTTCAGTATATTAACTGCGTTTTTTTTGGAATATATGAAAACTATTACCAAAAACTTATATAAGTTATATTTTACAATAATGACATCAATTTTATCAATATATATCGTGCCGATTTTCCAAAAAGATGCAAATTACACTCAAAAATCTCTCACAGTTTTAACTACTATCTAGTAAGTCATACATAATCGTTCAAGTGGAAATTCTTTATAACACTTTGGCTTTTTGCCGACGTACAATTTGTCACAATAAATTTGACAAATTTGTTTTATATTAGAATGCAATCATTTGATAGATAATATGAATACATCACAGTGTAACATATAACATGATATATCAAACTAAGCAATAATAATTATTTTACTATAAAAAAAAGAAAAAAAAATACATTCATCTACAAACTATATAGTCTAATATTTTATAATTTATTAATATATTTTTCATTCATACTTATAAAGAAAAAAAATACGGTTTCATGCTTAAATCTTCTCTGATTATGAAATTACATAACACTGTATATCTTGTAACATTATTTTTAAAATGCCCTTAAAAAAACTGTGATGTATCCTATTATTTACAATATTATATATTCTTTAATAGAAATGGTATAAAATGTATTATATAATTAAAAAAGATTAGGGATTATTTATAATAGGAGAATAAATAAAAGTATTTACATCATACGATTATGTAAGATTTTTACAATAGAATCTTTTAGAATCAGGGGTTTCAATTTTATGCTTCTGCAAACATTAAAAATAGTATTATATATTTTATTATGAGTTTTTTTTTTTGTTTAACCAAATGTTATACAGCATGAATGTAGAAATTGTAATTTTCTATGTTTAGTTAAAATTTTACATTGTATGAGGCACAAGATTGTAGTAAAAATTTATATGTGTACAATATAATTGCGAAAACAATATTTGAACAAATCTTATGATAAATAAAATATTTACTAGAATGAATTTTAAAAGAAAACATAGATTAAGACTTATAAATAAAAAATATAATTTTATTTTAAAGGTATTTTTAATTTTGTACTATATAGTTATTTTGAAAATTATAATATATTTGTTACAATCTATTTTAATAAATAGAAGAATATATTTTAAAATATTTCATTTTTAATAAATGTGTTATGAGTATGAAACTCTTTCGTATTCTCGGAAAATCGTGAGCATTATAAATGTATCACAATAGTCGATTATCTGAGAAATACTGTTTTCATTAATATGTATTATTTGCATAATATATTTTGAAATAGATACAACTATTACATTTAATACGGAAATTTTTCTCTGAAAAATTGTAACCCCTGTAAAAAATTAGAAGTCTTATCTTTGTTATAAGTTTCTCATTACATTTTACATAATATCAAGGCTGCAAATATTTGGTATTTTTGTTAGTAATTTGAAAAATTAAGGAACAATGTTGCGTATGTAGCAATATAAAAGTTTACTTGATATGCCAATTGGTAAGAGATGATTTGGAAGCAGAACCTTGACTTTAGAATCATTGCATATTGGCTTCTTGACCCCAATTAAATCCACCAGGACGATCTTCAGGAGGTGGAGTATAATCTGGATCTTCTGGATGTGCGTCAAATAAAGTTTTTCTGTAAACAAACAATCATAATTTTTTTATATATAATTATTGCAATACATAAATTTAAAATTATTTTGTTCCATTAACTTACAATATTTGTGGAGTTTTAAGAACACGAAAACCTCCTCGTAAACGCGGAAATACATCTTCTGCAAAATAATACATGTGTCCCACAGCCATCCCAACTAAATCTACCCAAATTGTATTACCAAGAAGTACAGAGAACCCAAGGAGCACCCATGGTAAATATGGTGCCTATTAATAAATATAAAATATATTTAAAAATAATTTATTTTTTCCAAGAGAATTTAAAGAGAAAAGTTAGAAACTTACTTGAAAATTTAAAAGTCCAAAAAAGTTTAATCTAACAAATGGATTTCTTCTGGACCAAACATAAACCAACATAATTGTAAGTGCATGGCCCAGAAATAACAAATTAACAAAAAATGCAAATGTCTATTAATATGCTCAGGAAAATTGTATATACATTACATTTATTTTATATTTATTTGGAGAAAAAAACTTATTTTAAAAAAACTAATATGATATTAAAAGGATACAATCATACATATACCTCCAAAAATGAACATCATTACAAAATCAGCTGTTCTTCTACGAAATGATCCTTCCTCTAACATTCGACAATATCGATAAGTAAAAATCATATTGAAAAGAAAATTGAAACCCATATTTCCAAGAAATAAAAATGTAGTGATTAATCTCCATAACTGAAAGAATATTTACATTATTATTATAAATAAACGTCTAAAGACTAATAATTAAAATTGATTTTTGTTTACCTGATACTGTTCAATGATTAATGTGGGATTAAAATACAACCGAAATGGAGATACCAAATCTAGTTGCTAAAATAAAAAAATAAAATTTAATAGTTAAATTTTGAAAATCCTACGTATATAAATAAAAAATTATAAGAGAAATATTTTACAAACCACAGCAAGAGTCGTGATGACACAAGCTGTTGTATAAGCTCGTGTCACCACAGGTATTTGCATGTACTCCTGCCGGAAAGTTTGATAGGCCATTGGTGTATTATTATGATCTTCTGTACACCTAAGGACCAATTTTTTTTCTAGATTCTCCACGTCTATAATCTATCATCACATATTGTTCATTACTATGCGTTATCTAAATTTAATGATTACCCACATCACGACAAATTTGTTATGTTCAGTTTCGTACACGTAATACGTGAAATTAGTTATAATCGAATAACGTGAATCTCGATTTTATATACTTATCGATAGTGATTTCGTGGCCTTTTCGCATTCGCGAAAATGTAACAATTATATTATGTTTAATTTCAAATATAAAAATCAATTATTAAATTTCAAAAAAAATTGAAAAGATAGATATTTATATTTATTATATATTTTTATTATTAATAATAAAAAAGTTTCATAAATAAGATTTTTACATTGTTAATTTATACAATTTAATTATATAATTTTTTAATCACGTGACACTTCTTAGAAACAGTTTATTTGTATATTCGTATATATTATATACTTTAATATTTATTACATTATAACTTTTCAATATTTAATGAAATAAAAAATATATTTAAACAAAACACTGCCCTCTATAAATCTTTAAAACGAAGAAAAAAAAATGTCTAAAATTATACATTTTAAGAATATCGAAGCACTATTTATAGTTGAACTTGAACAAGTAAAATCAATTATCAAATTATAATATTGAAAAATCTAAATTCTTAATTTTTAGGCTGATTTTTAATTTTTTTAAAGATTTAAAAAGAAAATAAAGAAAATCAAATCTTTGAAATATTTCTATCCTTACTTTTAGCAGCACACATGCATGCTAAAATATTTAATTTTATTGAATATTTTTTTTTCTATTTTTTATGTTTTTATATATTTGAAGATTATAATTTAACTCAATTGCATGAAACACTATAATTATATAATATCAATTTTATTACGATTTATATATTGTAAACTTTACATATATATATTTTATACATGAAAATATTTTATATTTCTAAATATTATATTTTTTTCTATAATAAAAAAGTTTTATATCTTTATAATTATAATCAATATTTAATCATTATTTTATTATTTAAATATTTATTTTTTTAATGAATCTATAAATGTATGTATAACAATGTATAAACAATATAATCTAAAAGATATAATTTAACCATAGAAATAATTTATATATAAATTTTAATGTAAAATACATCGACTTTATATATAAATTATATATTTTCAATTATATATTATATATTATATTGTTTAAACAAACAATCTTTTATTACAATTATTATAAAAATAATTATTTTAATCTATTATTATTAATCAAGAAATTCATCTTCTTTATTTTTATTTTTGTGAACAATATTGGAGAATTTTTTTAATTTTGCTACAAAAAATCCATCCATATTATGTATATGAGGATAAAATCGTTTAGTTAATTTTAATGAAGGATGAAATCTAAATTGTCTATAACTTGTAAAGCCTTCAGCACCGAATTCTAATCCAGTTGATATTAATTTAACATCACGTTTTTTAAGTGCATAATCGATAACCCATTCGTTTTCTTCTGGAAGAATTGAACATGTTGAATAAACAATAATTCCACCAGATTCTGAACGTGCATTAGCACAATCTATAGCTGCTAAAAGTAATTCTCTTTGTAATGTACAACAACGTTGTATATCTACTTCGTCTTTATTTGTTTTAACACTTGGATCTTTTGAAACAACACCAGTACCAGTACAAGGTGCATCCAATAATACTCTATCAAAATTTTTAATTACCTGAAAATTATATATTTTAGTTAATATATTATCATATATTTCTAATATATGAGTTATTAATAGTTTATATATAATTGGTGCTTACTGATGGTAACTTTCGTCCATCATAAGTGCAAATTACAGAATTTGTAATACCAAGTCTGTGAAAATTGCCAACAACTGCCTTTATCCTATCTTCGTTTACATCATTTGAAAAAAGTACACCTGTGTTCTTCATAAGTGCTGCTATGTGTGATGATTTTCCTCCTGGTGCAGCACACATATCAAGGATCTTTTCATTTTCTTTAGGATCTAAAGCCATAACAGGCAGAAAACTAGATGCACCTTGAAGAATATAATGCCCTGCTAGGTATTCTGGTGTCGCACCCATGGGAACTTGCGATGAATAAACTACTAATCCGACTTTTGTCCATTTACCAATAGGATCTAAATTAACTCCTCTATTAATCAAAGCCTGAAATTTTAATATTGTAAAAGAATATTTAAAATACTTATTATATATTTTATTAAATAAATACTTCGGCTAAGTCACGACGACGTGTTTTCAATATATTTGTTCGTATCGTCATGGGTCTTTGAACTTCACTTGCTTCCAAAAATTCTAATAATTCATCCAATGAAAATATTTGCATCAATTTCTCCATTAAGAAATTGTTATAACTATAGTATGTACATAAATCTCGCCTAAGAAGATCCATATATTCAGAACGTGATCTTAAAAAGAAAAATGAAAAATATATTTAAAATTTTTTTACAAAACAAGATTTTCATAAAATTTTTCAATTCTATTACAGATAATTATTCTATTACCTGTTTATATCACGCAATCTTTTAAAATCAGATAATACCATAACAATATCTTTTATACGTTGTTGTACATCTTTCAGATTAGTTACATCTGCAAGTTCTTCTTCAGAAGGAAAAGTAAAGACACATTGTTGTAAGGTCATATCATACATTTCCTGTTCTGCCAATTTTCTATTAAAAAGAAAATAAATTAAATTTTAAATATTAGATATTTAAAAAAATTTAAATACTCACTGTTCTTTTTCTTGCTTCTTTTTTAATTTTTTATTTGCCTTCTCAATAGGAAGTAAATCATCATTATCATCATTATTACAACTATCAATATCTTCTTCTTCATTTTGATCACTATCATCATCTTCTTTATCATTTTCAATAGCATCATATTCATCCTCTATATCACTATCAAGTAATTTTTTTTTTGTAAATTTATGTTTATCTTTCAATATTTCTTCATTATTAGATATATTATTATCATTATCAAATTCTATTTGATCATTTTCATTATTTGAATTGCCATTTGTAAGCATTTTTTTTTTCAAAGATTTTTTCTTCTTCATTTTTTTTAATTGTTTTATGTTATCATGGTTAAACTGTACTTGATCATCTTCATCATTTGAATTGTCATTTGTAAGTAGTTCTTTCTTAAAAGATTTTTTTTTCTTTGTTTTTCTTAATTCTATTATGTTATCATTGTCAAGCTGCATTTGATCATCTTTATTTGAATTACCATTTATAAGTAACTCTTTTTTAAGAGATTTCTTTTTTTTTATTTCTAATTGCTTTATATTTTCATTATTAAATTGCATTTGATCATCTTTATCATTTGAATGTTTATCTTTAAAAGATTTCCTTTCTTTTATTTTTATTAATTGTTGTGTATTATTTTTAATATTCTAATAAAAAATATAATAAAAAAATATATAATAAGTTTAATAACATTATATAAATATATATTGCATAAAATGTTTAAATACTAAAAGAAAAAAAAACTTACATTTTCATCAATAATGTTTTTTAGTTTCTCAATTTTCTCTTTTTGTAATTCCTTTAATTTTTCTTTTATATTTTGTTTCTTTAATAATCTTTTTTTTGCACGTTGCTTTTGTCTATGACTTAATTTTTTTTCTTCTTTCACTAAAAATAATAATTGTATAATATATTTTCTTTTTTTTAATTTTTAGATAGAATAATAAATACATTTGTAATTGACATACATACATATTGATAAATTTATAATTTTCCATACCTAATACTCCTTTTGGAATATTGGATCTCCTTGCTTTTTTGCTTTTTTTCCACGACCACTTGGAACATTTGTTCATCAAATTTTGCTTTTCGTCCCATTTTAATATATTTTGTACAACAATTGTTAATAAAAAATTAACGTTTTTATTAAGCTAAGTATAAAATTTATATTACAAAATGAATATAAATCATTAATTTCTACATTTTCTGATATATAATATTATTACATTTAAATAAAAAAAATTGTAATTACAAATTAAAAAATGCTCAAATTGTTTCAAAATGAACACGTGAGTTATAACCTAACTTTTTTATTTATTATTCAAATATTACCAACTAATATTTTAATATAGCCAACTTGAAAAATTGTAAAGTACTCAAATATAAAATTAAAAAATATCAAATAAAAATATAAAATTAAAATATTATTTTTAAATTATTATAAATAATATACTTTATTTAAATTAAAAATATATTTCATTTAATTAATTCCAATAAAATAAATATCGATTATTGAATATATGAAAGTAATATCGATTTATGAATAAAATAACTATATGTTTGAGAAAAATTTTTATTAAATGTTCCTATATTTTTGAGAAAATATTCTGAAATACACGTGTTTTAGCTGTTTGATTTGTCATAAAAATATTTAGAAAAATATATATTGTGAAATAAAATGGGAATTACAAAACAAGAAGTACATCGACCTGGTGCATTTAAGCAAATTAATAAAGCACACAAAACTGGTAGACATCGTAGTAAAGGTTCAATTAGTAGCGAGGTTAAAGGTAAAATTCTTTATAATATATCTAATTTATCTATCTAAATGTTGTAATATCTATATTTTTTAATTTATTATATTTATTATAGGAAAAATTGGAGTAAAAAATTTATCAAAACGTGTTACTAAAAATCTTGGAAAGGATGCCCGAAGACATCAATCTTCACAAATTAGAAAGAAAAAGAGAGAAGAAGTATTACAACAAAAAAGGAATTTAAGTGGATTACATTCTGCACCTATTCTTGTATGTATTATTCCATTACAAGAAGATTTAAATATTGATAATATATTATCAATAATAACAAAAGCAGATGAGTCTGCAAATATAACTAATAGTCCATGTGGAACAATACATTTAAGGTATAATGCTATATTATTATTATAAAATATTATTATAAAATTATATAATAAAAATATAAATGATATTGATATATTATGTACTAATGAATTATTAATTGAAATTGATCTTTTACAACAGTATACCTAGGTTTAAACAACGTTTTTCCTTTGTTGTACCACCTATTGGTAATTTGTTTGCTACATTAGATATAGCAAAAATATCTACAACTGTTCTTTTTGTTGCATCTGTTATAAATCAATGTGACAATAATCCTAAAGTTGAAATACTTGATAATTGGGGAAAAGAAATTATTATGGCTTGTATTGCTCAAGGCTTAAGTACTCCTGTAATAGCACTTACAAATATTGAAAATCTTCATATAAAGGTATTATATTCTTATTATTTATTTTTATTTATTATTTATTTTTAACAAATATAATATCATTTATTTCATAAATTTTATTATAGAAACGTCAAGAGTTTAAAAACCATGTACAATTTGAAATTTCTAAATGGCTTCCAGAAGAAAAAGTTTTTCAATTAGATACATCTACTGATGCTTTTAATATTTTAAGACGTGTTGGTACTCAAAAACAAAAAACTGTATCTTATCGAAATAAAAGAGCACATTTATTAGCAGAAGAAATAAAATTTAAATGTAATGAAGTAAGTATTTTATATAATTTATTTGTATATATTGCATTATTATATATATTCAGATTTATGTTTAAATTTGATTTTAATTTAGGATTCTACAGAACTTGGAACTCTTATGATCTCAGGATATCTTAGAAATGTACCATTATCAGTTAATAGTTTAATACATATTCCAGAATTTGGAGATTTTCAAATGTCTCAGATAGATGCTTCTGAAGATCCATATCCAATGGAAAAAAAATTAAGAAAACATTCTAATGCAATGGATGATGAACCATCTATTCGAATTCTTGAACATGCAGATCCAAAAAAACAAGTAATTGTACAAATCAGAATGAAAATATAATTTTTCAATATCAATTGTTAAATATTCATTTTTTTTTTAGGAATCTCTTGAATCTGAAAATATACCTGATCCTATGGATGCTGAGCAAACTTGGCCTACTGAAGAGGAATTAGCTCAAGCTAAAGCTAATCAAAAAAAAAAATTTTAAAAAAAGTTCCAAAAGGAACTTCTGAATATCAGGCAGCTTGGATTCCTGATGAAGATGGAGGTATTTAAAATTTTATGTATCGATTTTTAAAAATTAAAGATTTTATTATATAGCATATAATTTTCTATAAAATTATAATTTTACAGAAGAATTGAGCGAATATTCAACCGATGAATCAGAAGATAAAATGTCTATTGATGAAGCAAAATCTCAAGATAGTGAAATTGAAGCAGAAGAAGATGAAGAAGAATTTGAAACTATTACTATATCTGAAATGCCTGATGAACGATACGATCAGAATATCGACATGACAGAAGAAAAAGAAACAATGGAAAAATTGAAGCGTACGTTTAACAAAAATATACATATATAATATATTAAAAATTTACCAAAAAAATTTTATTATTTTAATATCGATTAACTAGTTAAATTACTTCATTTCATTTTCAAATATAGATGCAAAATTAGATGCACAATTTCCTGATGAAGTAGATACACCCCAAGATATATTGGCAAAAGAAAGATTTCAGAAGTATCGTGGACTTGAATCGTTTAGAACAAGTCCGTGGGATCCGAAAGAAAATCTCCCTGCTGATTATGCTAGAATATTTCAATTCGAAAATTTCGATCGAACTCGAAAACGTATATATAAAGAATCTCAAGAAATAGAGGGTGCAATGGTAAATTTATGATAATTAAATTTTAATCGATTAAAAATTTAATCTATTAACATTAAATCACATAAACATATTTTCTTCTAGCCTGGCTGGTATATCACAATTCATGTTAAAAATGTAAGACAAGATCTTTTCATCGCTTTTTGCGCTTTAGAAAGTCATCCATTAATTGTATTTAGTTTATTACCAAATGAACATAAAATGTCTGTATTAAATGTAGTATTGAAACATATCAATACTAGTCCACAACCAATAAAATCTAAAGAAAAATTAATATTTCAATGTGGATTTAGAAGATTTACTGCTTCTCCAATATTTAGTCAACATACTAATGGGAATAAACATAAAGTATGTATTATGTAAAATACATTTTTAAAATATTTTATTAGCAAATATAAATAAAAATTTTTTTTTAGTACGAGCGATATTTTCGACCAGAAAGTACTGTTGTGGCAAGCATGTATGCTCCCATCACATTTCCACCGTGTCCAGTTTTATGTTATATTCAAAAATTGAATAAATCATTGGTGAGAATAAAAATATGTTGTAGATAGATTGATATTCTATTATAAATTATTTTTATTTTTATATTATAAAATTATTTTTATAGGAATTAATTGCAACTGGAAGTGTATTATCTGCAAATCCAGATAGAATAGTGGTAAAACGAGTAGTTCTTAGTGGTCATCCGTACAAAGTACACAAACGATCAGCAGTTATAAGATTCATGTTCTTTCACCGAGAAGATATAAATTGGTTTAAACCAGTTGAACTACGAACAAAATATGGTCGTAGAGGACATATAAAAGAACCATTAGGTAAATAATTTTTAATATTTTATTTGTTAATTCATTTAAATTAATTTATTTAAAACAAATAATTTGTTATTTTCATTTTTAGGTACTCATGGTCATATGAAATGTGTATTTAATGGTCAATTAAAATCTCAAGACACAATTTTAATGAATTTATATAAAAGAGTATTTCCAAAATGGACATATGAACCTTTATTAGTAACACAGTTACAATATCAGAATAAAAACATGAATGTAAAATAAAATCTATTAGTCAAAGTATTAAAATGTACATATATACATTAAATAAAATTTATATATATATATATTTATATATCTACGAGTTTTAAAAAATGTATTTTATTAAAATTATTTATGCATTTTTTCTTTTAATATTATAAATAAATTTTAATTTCAATTTGAAATATTCCTTGATTTATTATAAGGTACACGTGATGTATTTTTAATTAACTTTATGCATATATATATATATATATATATATATTATATAATTTAAAAATAATTTAAAAATTAATATTATGTAAACTTATATGAAATTTAATTAAATGAAAATTAATATTAATACTAGTATTAAAATATTGTATATAATTATATGTATAATTATAAAGAATTAAATTAAAGAATACATTTAAGAATTTTAACTTTAAGTTCTAATTATACAGAAAAATTACAAGATCAGTAATTTAAATATATTACAAATTTTTATTATATTACTCAGTTTCATGATAGCAGTGAATTATAATTATTTTATTATATTTTATATTTTATTATATTGAATTTCATAATAAAATATTTATCATCAAAAATGTTACTACAAGCAAATATTTTATAAAATCGCGGGAGGCTATAGGTAGGTTATAACTAGTTACTTCTAGTAACTTAATTGCTTATCAAAATGAGAATTCGGATATTGTTATCCACTGGATTTACTATCATCTCGATTAGCCTTTAAAGTAGGTTGTGCAATAGCATAACGAAATAATTCGTCTAAAGAAATGGATTTGGACACTGCTTATATTGGTAATTAGCATAAATTTATATCAATCAAGATGTTGATAGGCAAATATAAATGTTTAATATTCAGAGTAATGAACTTAAATTTTTTTGTTGAAATAAATATTTAATACAGAACCTTTAATTGATGATTGGCTAGAGGGACTTAAATCATACGTTAAACAGCAAGAAAATCTTATTAAAGCTAAAGACGAATTTTACATGCCATTTATAGGTAATTGTTATATTCAAAACTGTATCTCTTTGCTGATATTAGGTTTGTTTTTATTTACAACTTTGTTTCTTAATATGTTTCTTAAGAAACACACATATACATATATATCATGAAAAAAT